CTGCCAAAATTTATATTAGAATATTTACTGGCAAAAATTAATTTTCTATGTATTTATATGTAAGAGCCCAGGAAAAATTTGAGGGACCCAAGGGAATAGAATGCGCAACCTCCGGTTGGCAAGCCAGGAACCCCACGCAATACGCTCTCACTATTTTTCCTCGTCCTTATTCTTATAGTTGGGTATGGAGGCCCCAATGCCATATATGTCTACTAAATGTGATGCAGAATGTCATTTATATTTTATAAAACAATGTATAATTTTGTAAAAATAACAATGCAACCAAAAAGATATTACTATAGTTTTAATGTGCATTTACACAAGTTTTAAATTTTAAGTATCACAATAGAGATTGGAAACTCTATTTTAAATAAAAGTTATAGCAAACACTTTTAACAGGAGATGTTAAATTATTAAATATGTTTAGTTACACATCACTAAAAGGTACATAGAGGATATAGTAATAATTAGTGATTGTAAAATACAATGTGGTATATAAATAACATTACAAATAATTATACATTTCACAAATGTAAATTTTTAATTGTAATTGTTATTAATTTACATAAAGTATATTAAATTACACTGTCCATTTTGATACTTTCTTTTGCATATGAACTGTTCCATCAGATGTAACTGCGGAGTAGTGCTTTGAACTATCATAATTACGACGCATGTATATAATATATCCTATACAACCAACAATTGCAACAGCTCCAAAAATCATCGTCGCTTTATTCTAAAAAATAAATGCAATTATACAAACTTTATCAACAGAACATACTTATACTTTATTAATAACATATTCAAGAATTTAAACTTTTTTACACATTTAAAATTTATTCCAATATACTTTTAATTTATAAAATAGTCTTACCGGCTTAGCATACAATTCATAATTAATTGTACGAAATAATGATGTACTTCTCAAAGAACGTAAACCGTCACCTGGTGTTGATTCGTGTTTTTTTTTATCCATTATGAATTTAAATTAAAGATATCTTTGTTCTATAATAAAATTTTGTAAATATCAATTCCAATGTTTTAATATTTTAATCTTTCTTTAATTTGTAATGCACAATGTTTTAAAAGTTTTATCTAACCTTTAATTAGTAACCTCTTAGCTTACAATCTAATATTAAATTACAATCATAGTCCAGAATATAATTAAGATACAACAAAACTAGATTGTACTTTCAATCAAAATAAATTTGAAATATAACTTTAATATCAATTTATATACTAATGGAGTAGTCTGTACGAATTATGTACTGTAAAACAGCAAATACTTAACGTCACTATCCATAATTGATAAAAAGTAATAAAGTCATACATTAATTTTGCTATTATTTAAGAATAATAAAATACATAAGAATTTGCAATGATAAAATTATTATATTGCACATTTATATAATCTTGCCATACAAGTTATACACTTTTATTGCAAAAATATATAGCCTCAAAATATTTATATCTGCTTGTTTATTGCTTGTATAAATGTCCTTAACAAATAATTTCTATTTATTCAAATTAATTATAGAAATAAAAAGTATAATAATTGAATCACTTGAAAAATTATATAAATAAATCACCTAACCTTATTTCACTCTTAAGTAAAAGCATTGTCCTACACATTGTGGTAAGAAATATACGTATCTAACAATCATGGTACGAAAATTAAAATATCACGAACAAAAGTTGTTAAAAAAAGTAGATTTTATATCATGGGAAGCAGATAATAATTTACATGAAGTAAAAATTTTAAGACGGTATAGAATACAAAAAAGAGAGGATTATACAAAGTGAGTATAATTTTTATAGCTCTAAACGTAAACTTTATAAAAAAAAATTATATAAAAAAATGTATATAATTCATAAATTTTACTTATTATAGGTATAATAAACTAGCCCGAGAAATTCGTGAATTAGGTAACAAAATTAAAGAAGTTGATGCAGATCATCCATTTCGAATAGAACAGAGTGCATTATTGTTAGAAAAACTATATATGATAGGACTTATAGCAACAAAGTGGGATTTAGCACTAACACAAAAAATTAGTGCCAGTTCATTTTGCAGAAGACGATTGCCAGTTATTATGGTACGAAATAAAATGAGCCAAAATTTAAAAATGGCAACACAATTAATAGAACAAGGTCATGTTAGGGTTGGAGTAGAAGTTATAAAAGATCCAGCATTTTTAGTAACAAAGTAAGCAAAAACTATTTTTAATATAAAATAATTTTACAAAAATATTAAATT